CGTACGAAGGAGAGAGAGAGAGAGAGAGAGAGGATCGAAGGCAGGGCAGGTCTCGGCCGATATCTATGGTGTGATGCAGGGTCGCGAGCCATCACGCGCGCAAAGTGGAAGGCAGCAGCCTCCTCTCGAGGATGAGGCCCGTGGCAGGAGAGGGGGGCCCACGGAGGCGAGACAGGCCTTATACGAGCTGGTGGCCGTCGGGGTTCCCTCTAATGTTTGATAGTTGTGTGTGGGCCGGCGCAGCGTGAGAGAGGAATGCGAGGATGCATAGCCGACTCGTGTTGGCCGTTCTTCGGTGAACAGCACTCGCGACGTCGTCCACTTCGGGCAATCGACGCCGTTCGAACGTCGTTCCAGAACCAGACTCGGTCTCGCGCACAGACAGCCTCTGGGACAGACGGTATGAATCATTCTGTCCATTGACCCCGCGTCGAGGAACGGTGCAGCCAACGCGAAGGAGGGATCGATTTTCGATCGATTTTTGAAACGAATCTCTCATTCGAGAATCGTATTTGCGATGGAAAAGAAGAGGAAGGGGGGGGGGGGGAGGACAGTTTCCAAATAATATATTTGGAGTTGGTAGAGGAGGAGGCAACCGTTGTCAGCACGCTGATAATCGAGAGGAGGGGAGGCCATCGATATCCGCTATTTAAGAGCAACCGAGGGGGATGATTACTTCCTTACGATGTCGTTGCTTGTTTCCCCGATCATCGGGGATTTACCTTCCTTTCCGATAAGATTGAGATCGTTGGGAGAGGAGAATATTGTTGTAATCCGTTGCACGAGAAACTTGGGGCAAATTGGGCGCAAAGAACGGTGACGCGAGAGGCAAACTGGCGGAAACAAAGCGTGCGCGGCGTTCGGCCCTTCCCCCTGTTCCCGATCACCGATTATTTACGTGGCTCGAATCGAATCGTATCAACCTGACCCGTGTATACATGGCTCGCTCGCCATTATTTACAACTGTTGGGAATAACAATGGAAAGAATGATTTTACTCGTCGAATATTCTTACACTTGGATGTTAAAAATACATAGCATCGAATTTAAACCAGTAAATTTTGCAATTTTATCATTCGTGGTGGAGGTCGTAGCTCGTCCTTTTCAGTTTTAATCCATTGGCCGCCTAATGGCCGAAAGGGAAGAATTTTTAATCTACTCGCGAATTATCTTCGCTGGAAATCGGTCCTCTTCGAAGGAGGAGAGGACTCCAAGAAAGAGAGTCGAAACGAGAAATATCCGATAGCCGCGCTGCCAAGAAAGCATCGGGACTCCTTTCTTTTTTTCTTCTTCTTCTTCTCCCCTCGTCTTTTTCCCCTACGTAGGATACGTTATTGCGGGCGGGAAGAGACCGTTAGGGAAGAGTGACGTAGGAAACGTAGGATTCGTAGTACGTATCTTTTCCGCTTAAAATTGCGGCTCGACACTGGCAAGCTGCCTTATCGGTGGCCACCTTTTTATCCCGTCGAAATGACACCTTTGTGCGGCCCTTCCAACGCCCGTAAATTTCACCCTCCCCGTCCTCCACTTTCTTCTTCCGCTTCCGTTATGTAATTGGCTGCCGCCGTTGCCAATTCTATTATTACTAAATATGTATACGTTTTATTACGAGCCGCCCGCTCGTCGCTGGGACGCCTATTCCATTCCATCTCGGTGAGGAGCCAGCCATTTCCAACTGAGCTACGATCGAAATGGAGAAACGCACGCCTTCTTGTAAATCGGCGATAATCGAAGAAAAACCCACCTCTTGATCGAAAGTATTACTCGAGTGTCGCTTTTTCTTACAATTACAAAAACCGATCGATTATACATCTTTTCGTTCTATTTCATCAGTTCAAGCACAACGAAGTAAGCGTCGATTATTCGGAAAGGATTAATAAACGTACAATTACGGAGGATGTTTCTTTGCGAGGAAAAGAGTGCCGATTTGCGAACAATTACCGATTACGAAAACATCGACTAAACACCAACTCCACCTACTCGAGTGAAACGTATTGGCGCTCGCGTACATCTGAACGAGAGCTACGCGTCCTTGACGACAATCGTTTCACGAATACTGCTCCCATGAGTGTACAACAATCGAAAGATCCGGCTTCGAGTCCTCGTTCACTTACCCAATCGCGATCGATCAACGCTTTTTCTCGCCAAATATACGATCCGTGGACGGCCTACTAGGAGAGGAGCGAGAGAGACGGGTCCTGAATTAATACATTAGCCACCCAATAAGTCGCCGTAAATTAAGCGATAGCGTCGGCGGCCTCGTGCACGTTTGCCGCCGCGATTAATCTCGCTGCACGTGCAACGGAGATGGCAAAATCTATATCTGTTCTCCTGCCAGAGAATCGGTTTTTGGTCGCGATGCCCCTCCATCCACGGCTATTTATAAAGAAACCGACTACGTTCTCACGCACCAGGTGCTACCTGGTAACCAGCTGATCACCCATCTCGACCTTGTCGCCGTTCCAATACCTCCGCTTCGATCATTAACAGCGTGATCGTGCCTCGATCCTCCTCGCGCGAGACTATTATATCGATCTCGTTATCGATCGATTTCTATTTTTTCCCTCTTCTCTTTCGCTCGTTCCAACATACGTTCGATGGAACAGAAGCGATCGAAACTGGACTAGTAGGGATAGTAGTTTTTCCATAAAATGTGTTATTTCAAAAGAAAAGGGAATAGTAATATGAGAAAGTATTAATAAAATATCGATCGACAATTTGCATTCGATGTTATTTATTTTTCACCTCGTCCAAGGCGAGCCCTGAAACGTGGACGACACTCGAAGGATATCTCAACACGCCACGTTATATCCAGTTCTTCAATATTAAAACACACAATGCGAAGAATTTCTTGCATGCAGAATTTTAATCCGTGTTACACATCATAATATATTATTACCGGGAATCGCGTTTAAAACCGTGCGGGATATGAATAGCCGTTTCAAACGAGGCCTTTACCCAATTATCGGCTCGTCGTCTCGCTTTCTCGAAATTTCTATTTCCTCCCCGGATGGCGATAAACGGCGATATACGCCGTTGTTCGATCCACGTATGGTGTCGTGGCTTCAACGGCTATTAATATTAACGTAATCTTTCGTACTATAATTCTGGCCCCGCGAGCTATAAATACACGGCGAATGACCATAAAATTTCAACCACGCGAGTCCCCCTAGAATCGCCGCTAAGATCTCGGTCGCAATAAATCGCGAATCCTAGAGAGCCTTCGGTGAATTCACCGAGCGGATCCTAGCGGTGTGTTCACAACCGGGCGCAACAACTGGTCGAATACGTAATCCTGTTTCGTATAAATGATCGGAGGCCGAACAGTGGTGGTGGTGAATAAATCGTATCGTATCGTTTCTGGCTTGTTGGCGATTTCTTGGGAGGATTTTCGTTTCGTTTCGTTCGTTCGTTGTCGCCAAAAATTGACGCGATCTACAAAACAGGGAAGGAACAACGATGGTGGTTCGGATGGTAAGACGAGTTTAACTTAAGTAAATGACGATCGATTTGAATCGGTCATATCTAGAAAGGGTTATGTCTGAAGGGGTTAAAAATGAGTTTCACAAAGAAAGGGAAAAAAGGGAACGTCGAGTTTTTGTTCCTAAACATTTTCCAACTGATATTTCGCCACGGTTCCAAAAAACGTATTATTTACGCGCGTTGACATTAATTGTTCGTTCTTCGACTTCGTTCGTATCGTTCCCTCCTCCACCATAGTGATTTTATTTTTCCCCGTGTGATTTTCGTCGTTTATTTATATC